TGATGTGTTGTGAGATTGTTAACCATTGTCATAGGGCAACATTTGTAGTAACTGTTAAACGAGAAACTATTTTGTTCTGTAAGCCTTCATCTTAAGTGAGAATAACAGCACAATTCGAAGAGCGTAGGCAAAGTCACTGAACTGTGCATGTAGAAATTTTTGAAATGGTATATCTTTGGCTATGTGTATTTTCACCAGAAAAAAAAGGTTGAGAAGTTAGAGGGTTGATATGTTGTGGGGTAGTTAACCAATGTCATAAAACAACACATGTACTTCTGTTTCATGAGAAGCTATTTGTTCTGTAAGCCTTCACCTGAAGTACAATAAAAAATAAAAAAAAGAAAGCTGAAGAGACAAAGAAGGACCTTCCCCTAGAGCCGATGTCCTGATTTGGACTTCCAGCCTCCATAACTTTGTGTTCTTTGAAGCCACCCACTTTGTGTGTTTTTTGTTATAGTAGCCCTTGGAAACTAAGATAGGAAAGCACTTTGTTTTTGTTTTGTTTGTTCTGTTTTTTAAGATAGAAAATAATGGTGATGAGAATGGTCCAATTAATTAAAAAAAAAAAAACAAACCCATTGCTCCCAAGTCAACTCCAACTCATAGCAACCCTCTGGTACAGAGTAGAACTGTGCCATAGGGTTTCCAAAGCTGTAATCTTTACCGAAGAATACTGCCACATCTTTCTCCTGCAGAGCAGCCGGTGGCTTCAAACCACTAACCTTTCAGCTGGCAGCCAAGCGCTTAACCACTGTGTCACCAGGGCTCCTTGGTCCAATAGAGAGGGTGAAATTAATTATTCAGGAGCAAGAGGGGACAATGGCAGGAGTGAAATCACTGAGTCAGCCAGAGAAGATGGAATCCAGTGTACAAGTAGAGAGGTTATCCTTAATTAGAAGCAGGAGCCAGGTAATACATGTAGAGATGCATGTAGTTTGGTAGATTTGTGTTGAGAGTGCATATATCTTCTTATTGAATTTATTTTCTCAATGAAATGATGACGGAGGATATCAGCAGAGAGTTAGAAGAGAAGAGAGGGTGCTCGAGGTGTAATGAGATTTGGAGAAGACGTGAAATAGTCCATTCAGAGACTATTACTAGGGCTCTATTTGAAGAAAATGGTTATGAATTTAAAAAGAGATTGGCTCAACTGTATGGGTGAAGGTGTGGGCACAAAATCAGGCTTACCCAGGGCAGATTTTTTTTCAGAGGAGTAAATGGGGAAAGAGAGAGATATTGAGGTCATATGTAAGGAGTGATTATAGTGAAGGACCCATGGGAACTTAACCAAGTATGGACTTAATGAACATTGAAAAAGTCATAAGATCAATAACTTGGAGGACTTGGTGGCATCAAAAATTGTCAGACAAGGAAAAATAAGAAGCAGTGCTTAAAGAATGTTAAGCTCAGAATTTAGATTTTGAATAGGGAAAGTAATAGTAATGACAAGTTCTGGGTTATGACCCTGGAGTAAGTGGCTGAGATGGTTTTGAGAAAAGATTGTTGGATATGAGTATGTCAAGGAAGTGAATGAGAGGCTGGATGTTGAAATCACCTAAAAATGATGTCAGAAATAGGGAGAGAGAGAAAGATTCAGAGACAGTGGTCTAGGTTCTAATTTTTTCAAACAGAAGTTTTTGTGAAATAATAAAAAAAAAGGAGACAATGGTGATGAGAATTTTTAAAAGCATATTAAAAAATAGGCAAGGACATGAATGTGAATAGGGATTAAAAGAAAGTAGAAATAACCAAAAAATATATAATATTTGACCTCAGAAAAAAAATCAAAGGAACATTTATAAAATCAACAATGCTCAGCGTTAAAGAGGAGCCAGAGGAACAGCAATGTCTCAGTCATCTAGTGCTGCTGTAACAGAAACACCACAAGGGGGTAGCTTTAACAAACAGAAATTTATTCTTTCACAGTCTAGTAGGCTGGAAGTCCAAATTCAGGCACAAGCTCCAGGGGAAGGCTTTCTCTCCTGTGGGCTCTAGGGGAAGGTCCTTGTCATCAGTCTTCTCCTGGTCTAGAAGCTTCTCAGTGCAGAGGGCTTCTTTCCTGTTGATAATGAGGTCCCTCTCTTTCTGCTCACTTCTCTCTCCTTTTATCTCTTGTAAGATAAAAAGTGATGCAGACCACCCCAGGAAAAACTCCTCTTACATTGGATCAGTGCTGTGACTTGAGTAAGGTTGGTGACTGAGCTAAGGGTGGTACATCCCACCCTAATCCTCATTAACATAACCTAATCATGCCTCATTAATAGAACTGACAACTCACTCCCAAATGGGACCATAACCACAGGCAGAGAGTTAGGATTTACAACACATAATTATATCAGATCACAAAACGGAGGACGACCACACAATACTGGAAATCATGGCCTAACCAAGCTGACACAAATTTTGGAGGGACACAATTCAATCCATGAAAAGCAGTCTCAACTACTGCTAATGGGAATGATAATAAGAACAGTATCAACTTTCTGACTGGCAGTTGGAGATGCTTATTAAAATCTTAAATATGCATACTGGCCTAAAGGAGACTGCAGAAACCCCGAGAGTATGGCCCCCAGACACCCTTTTAGCTCAGTGGCGAAGTTACCTTCGAGGTTCACTGTTCAGCCTGGGAGTGGACAGCCCAGTAAAACCATGAGAGTAACGAGGTACAGGAGTCCAGTGATAAGGCCCAGAAGGCAGAAGGGGAGTAGGAAGCTGATGATAGGGAACACAAAGTAGAGTAAGGATATTGTTGATGTGTTGTGAGATTGTTAACCATTGTCATAGGGCAACATTTGTAGTAACTGTTAAATGGGAGACTATTTTGTCCTGTAAGCCTTCATCTTAAGTGAGAATAACAGCACAATTAGAAAAGCGTAGTCAATGTCACTTAAATGTGTATGTAAAAAAATTTTTGAAATGGCATAAAAAAAAAAAAATCTTAAATATGCTTATCTTTTGACCTAATGATCCCACTTATAGAAATGTATCCTAAAAGAATAAGATACATTCAAAACATAAGTGCATCTCAGCATCAGTAATAATAGAAAAACATTCAAAATTATTAGTAGCAATGAAAAGATACATACAACAGATTGCTGACTGAAAAAAATATGTTACAAAACAGCATGTGTATCCCACCCCGTCTGGAGCAAGGGAGAATGAAGAAAACCAACGACTCAAGGGAAAGATAAGTCCAAAGCACTAATGGACCACAAGTAACACAGCCTCCACCAGACTGAGTCCAGCACAACTAGATGATGCCCGGCTACCACCACTGACTGCTCTGACAGGGATCAAAGTAGAGGGTCCCAGACAGAGCTGAGAAAAATGTAGAACAAAATTCTAACTCACGAAAAAAGACCAGACTTACTGGTCTGACAGAGACTGGAGAAACCTTGAGACTATGGCCCCCGGGGCACCCTTTTAACTCAGTACTGAAGTCACTTCTGAGGTTCACCCTTCAGCCAAAGGTTAGACAGGTCCATAAAGCAAAACGAGACTAAATGGGCACACGAGCCCAGGGGCAAGGACTAGAAGGCAGGAGGGAACAGGAAAGCTGGTAACGGGGAACCAAAGGTCGAGAAGGGGAGAGTGTCAATACGTTGTGGGGGTGGCAACCAATGTCACGAAACAATGTGTATCTCAATTGTTTAATGAGAAACTAATTTTCTCTGTAAAACTTCATCTAAAGCATGATAAAAAATAGCATGTGTAATTTTGATCACATTTAGATGAAAATACGTGTGTGTTTATGTGTTGGTGGATGTACATAAGTGTCCAAATAGATGTCTGAAAGTATGTTCACATTCATGCTAATGCTGAGTATCTTTGGGGAACTGAATTTCTGATTATTTTTACTTTCGAGTTTATGCATTTCTTTCTATAGTGTTTGGATTGTGTATGAGGATCACTTACAACACTAAAGATGAGATTATCATCCTCAGGTCCTCTGCTCTTGTTCTTGCCTCTGCTTGGAACACTCCCTTACCTCCTTCAGTTCTCTTCTCAAATGTTCCCCATTAGAAAGGTCTCCCTTTACCACTCTATTTAAAATAAAACCACTACCCCTCTGTCTCCCCTCTCCATTCCTCCCCCCAGCTTTAGTTTTCTGAACTATACTTACCATCATCTAATATACTTTGATTTTTATTTGTTTATTTATTTGGTGTTTACTATCTGATCTCCCCCCCAACTCAACTAGGACTTTGTTTTATACTAAACTGTATTCCCAATGCTAAGAAAGGTGCCAATCATATGTTAGGCACTCAATAAATATGTATTAAATACATGAATATGTATCTATTAAATGCATGAAATACATATATATGTCAGAAGCTAATAGAACGCAAACATTTTTGCACTTTTATTTTAACTCCCTAAAAGAAATTTACCAAAAAGGCCTTGATAACATGGAAGAGGAATAACTTAAAAACACTTTAAGTTTTGCTTGGGGCCAGTCCTACCAAACAGAAAATTTTTACTTTATATTCAGCTTAATTGCCATGTTGAATTTCACTTAGTTAAATAGTCATAAATTTAATTGCACTCTCAATGTGGGAAAGAAAATGACACATTTCTCTCTTCTGAACCCTTAATCAGCATTGAATCAAATTAAGCGCCATGTTCCCAGGCTGCTGAAAATCTGTTGCTCAAATTTTGTTACTAGTTACACGCAAGTCAAGAAAGAATACACAGAAATTTCAAAGTGGCAAAATGCAAATTTCCTTCTCCCCCAGACCCCCATTTTGGAATAATGTTTCTTTGGCCAAATAGAGGGACTCTGAAAGTCCCTTAGCCGACACAGGAAGTATGAGACTGATGATGCCTTGTGTGGAACCCAAGCCCAGGGACTCAGGGAGAAAGGCATCCACTGTAGCAGGGGCTACAACTGACATTCTCGGGGGCTTCAATTTCGCAGCCCTGGTGATCCTATATCAAATCTGGGAGAATTAAAAAATAATAATTATTGGGGAAAAAACTCACCGCGAAGTTGCATTTACCTGTTTATTTCTCAGAGGCTGAACGACTTCCCTAAGACACAGCTCTAAGTCATTGAGATAGTCCTTTTCTGTCTGTAACAGTTCCTTGATGATTTTCGACCGCTTTGTCATCATTCTCCTCATCTGCTGCTCTTCGTCCTGGGTTGGGGCCTCAGCTGCAGAACATCCGGCCTGTGGAGTCATCTTTTCTGTTAAGTGAAAACAAGTACATGTGAGGCTTTCTGCTGAGGTTTCCTTTCCCTGTTAGCAAGGGAAAAGGCTTGGAGCATCTTTACTGCGTGTCTTTAGGAAGTAATGTGCACTGGTTTCCTGTAAGGTCAAAATCTTATGAAACTGTGAACAAGAGGGGAGGTGAGAATGGGCAACTTTTTTTTTCACTTTCATTTTTTTATTGTTTTAAAAATGTATATTACAGAACATTTGCCAATTTAATGTTTTTCATGCATACAGTTTAGCTACATCAATTACATTAATCATGTTGTGCAACCATTACCAATATCCATTGTCAAATTTTTCATCACTGTAAACAGAAATTCTATGCTTCCTAAACAATCAATGACTCCCCTTTTCCTCCTCCCTCCTGCCCCTGGTAACCACGGATAAACTCTGGTCTCTATGCATTTGCCTATTCTAGATAATTTATACAAGTGAAATCATTCAGTATTTGTCCTTTTGTGATAATGTTTTTAAGGTTTTAAGGTTCATCCATGTCCACCAGACTGAGCCCAGTACATCTAGATGATGCTCAGCTACCACCACTGACTGCTCTGACCGGGATCACAACAGAGGGTCCCGGACAGAGCTGGAGAAAAATGTAGAACAAAATACTAACTCACAAAAAAAGACCAGACTTACTGGCCTAACAGAAACTGGAGAAACCCTGAGAATATGGCCCCGGACACCTTTTTAACTCAGTAATGAAGTCACTCCCGAGGTTCACCATTCAGCCAAAGATTAGACACCCCCACAATACAAAACGAACTAATGGGGCACAAAAGTCCAGGGACAAGATCTAGAAGACAGGAGGGGACAGGAAAGCTGGTAATAGGGAACCCAAGGTTGAGAAGGGACAGTGTTGACATGTTGTGGGGTTGTTAACCATGACCATAAAACAATATGTGTACAAACTGTTTAATGAGAAACTATTTGTTCTGTAAACCTTCATCAAAAGTACAATGAAAAAAAAAAAGGTTCATCCATGTTTTAGCATATGTCAAGACTGTATTTCTCTTTATGGCTGAGTAATATCCCATTGTATGTATATACTACATTTTGTTTATTCATTCATCTCTTGATGGTATGTAGGTTGTTTCCACCTTTTAGGAATTGTTAATAGTGCTGCGATGGACACTGGTGTACATGCGTCTATTTGCATCACTGCTTGGAAGTTCCGTGACTATATACCTAGGAGTGGAATTTTTGGGTTATAACTTTTTGAGGAAAGACCAAACTGTTTTCCACAGTAGCTGTACCATTTTGCATTCCCATCAGCAATGGACGAGGGTTCCAATTTCTTCATATCCGACCAACATTTGTTATTTTCCATATTTTTTTTTCTGTAGCCATCCCAGTGGGTGTGGTTTTGATTTACATTTCCCTAATGGCTAATGATGTTGAGCATCTTTTCATGTGCTTATTGGCCATTTGTATTTCTTCTTTGGTGAAATGTCTATTCAAATCCTTTGCCCATTTTTTGATTGGATTGTTTGTCTTTTTGTTCTTAAGTTGTAGGAGTTCCTTAAGAAGTCAGCTGAATGATACTTGACTATCATGATCGGTGTGTAAAACATCCTATTGTTGCTCTCTGAGGCTAGAAAGCTGGACTTCACACTGATTGTAGAATGTATACACATACAGTTCAGAATTTCCTGAGGATATGTTTATTTTTAAATCAAGGGAAGATTTTTAATTAGTGGAATATCTTACAATTTTGTTTTTGCGTAATATGAAAAATAATTGTACTTATTTTCAGTGGGTAGTATCCAAATCTTAGTGAAATGGAAAACAATTCCACATGACTGGTTGTTTTTTTGTTTGTTTGTTTGTTCATTTGCTTTGTTTTTCAATTCACACTTAATCAGAACCCATGAAGACTGAGGCAGGTGGATTGAATAAATTTTGGCTAATTTTTTTTATGGATTATCTTCAATACTATGCATATCTTGCTATTTCAAAATTATTGAACTGCCAAATGGAAACATTTAATTAAAAAATACTGAAATGTTAAGATAAATGGGAAGCCTCCAATATAGCCCAGTTTTATACGAACTCTGAAGGTAAGAAAGATAAACAGTCTCCAGGAAGACCTTCTCATGGCAGTGTAAAGTGTTGGAAGCCGCAGGCCATGGAATCAGAGCAATGACAGATACCAGGGAAGAGTGTGTATACTTATGTGTGTATGTGTACGTACGTATGTAAATGGATTTGCTTTAAGCTTGAAGTCACCACAAACTTAATTTTCACCTTAGTCACTGCAGTTAGAGAAGCAATTTCATTTCATTTAAAGCTAATGTAATTCTAATAACTATGTGAGACATCTCCAGCGCTGATACTACTTCCTGAGATGAAGAACTTTCCAAAGAGGCCTATTAAAATGTTGTTCAAAGGGAAAAAAAAAAAAAAAAGGCACAGGTCACAATGTATGCAAATGGAAAACAAGAGAGAATGATCCAGAGACTGACTCCAGAAACAAAGTAAGACAATTGGAGAATGTCATAGAAGAGGAGTTATTGGTTCAACATAAAGAGAATGAGAAGAGACACTTCAAAAAGCAGTGAGCACTCCTGCCTCCCTGTACCACTACTTTAGGAGTTCAGGCAGAGGCTGAACCATCAAACATCTGGGAGAATTCTGTAAAGATAATTCTAGCTTTAGTTTGACATTTGCACTAGATTGGTCTATCCTGAATTGCGGGAGAATATGCTTCTGGACCATTTGCCTGGGAACAATTATTCCTTCCTCTGGAAGGAGATAGATTTGACAAACAGCACCTAAGAGCATATGGTTTCACTAGATTTAGGCTGTTCAGTGCCAGAGATCATCTACATAAGTGACATAAAAAGAGAGACTCCACACAAGGAGAGAGAATGAAAGCATGAGATGTTCTGCAGTTTTCACATTCTTGATCTATGTAATGAACAATTTTGGATACTTGTGAATTTCTAAGATTTTTACTAGGAAATAAAAGGAGCCTGCCTTTCAGGGTCCCAAATGAGAAAGGAAAAATTATAATTAGGTGTCATTACTATCAATTATTTTGGGTATGAAAAAGGGAGGCAGGTTACCTATGAGGGAGTTGCAATGGCCAGGCTGTGTATAGAACTTGACCATGGACGAGTTTCCTTTCAACCGGTCCTTCTAAAGGGCTGGCGATCGGGAGGCAGAGGCCAGAGGGAGAGCAATAGGGGTTCTTTACTCCTGGGTGGAGCAGTTTACACTCTACTACTTACCTAAAGGTTGGTGGTTCAAACCTACCCAGTGGCACCATGGAATTGTTGCCAGAAGGAAACCTCACTAACAGAGAGCTGACAGAACAGTGCAGATTGCAGGTGATTATGACTTAATTTTATTTTGAAAATAAAAGCGACACTGTTGAAAAACTCTTCCGACCAATATCTGCTTTTCCAAGTTTTGAATTTTCACACTTTGTGTTATAAAAGTAACCTATCAAACCCCGGTTGTGTAGTGGTTAAGAGCTACAGCAGCTAACAAAAAGGTCAGCAGTTCGAATTCACCAGGCGCTTCTTGGAAACCCTATGTGGCAGATCTACTGTGTTCTTTAGGGTCGCTGTGGGTCAGAATCAACTCGATGGTAACGGGTTTGGGTTTGGGTTTGGTTTTAGCAAGGAGAGGAGCCCTTGTGGCACAGTAGTTAAGAGCACAGCTGCTAACCAAAAGATCAACAGTTTGAATCCACCAGCCGCTCTGTCCCATAGGGTCGCTATCAGTCGTAATCAGCTCGACAGCAGTGGGTTTAGTTTTGGCTTTAGCAAGGAGAAGGGAGTCTTTCCTCAACTTTGGCAAAGAAATACTCCTAAAACACATTCTCGGGTTCCTTTTAGTTCTAAGTTCCAGGGCTCATTACTGTATCAATTTAACGTATTTTACGGATTTTTTAGTTCCTACATTTTAAAATGTACCAACATCTGATTTTTTCAATTAAAAACTGCTTAGATTTTTTAATACTGCTCAAGACCTTGTTAAAAGCAAATTTGGGATGAAAAGATGATTAAAAGTGTCAGTCAATAAATTCAACTTCAGAAACTTCTTCCTTTAGGTGTAAAAATCTTCTCAGGGAATTTACTGCTGTGCAACCATATGAGATATCTTTGTTAGCTCTTTTGACTCAAGTTTATTGCAGGAACAAAGACTTGACTTGCATCATTTTATGGCCAGGCCTCTAAACACTTTCTATGTTTGCATTTCTTAAATCAACAAACTCTTCGTAATGCATTCTGGGCACAACATTGATTTTATAAGGCCCTCTTATGCCTTTAAAACTTCTATTGTCCAGTTAAGTTTTAAAACTACCTGTAACACATGAATAGTACCAACACACACATCACCAAAATCAGCACTCAGCTATAGCAATCCTTTATATCTAGGTAAAGCAACAGAGAATCTAAGTATTTAGAAAAGAAGGAAAAATAAAGCTTTAGGAATGAATATTTTCTAGTAGTTAGCATAAACTAGAATACTGTGTCAAAATCAAAGTGAAACTGAGGTTAAAAGGACATTTAGATTGTTTTTACCCAAAATATACCACTGTGTATGAAAACAGTACCATATAACTGACTTGCTTTGCCTATCTTGGTTTCTTTCACCCACAAGCTCCAGTTTTCCAGAAGTGATAATGAATTTTGACCATTCTAGCCACAGATTTCATTGGTAGCAGCATATGTGAAGATTCCTGGCCAAGGAAGTTTATATGAAAGGAGTTTGCTGTGGTTTGGGGGAAAGGATAATCAGAGTTAAGATCAGCTCTGCCACTCTTAGCAATGACAGATGGTAGACAATTTATTTATCCTAACAGAGCCTCGGTTTCCTCATCCATATAATATGAATGGAAACAATCACAGTGTTATCACGAAGACTGAATTAAAAAGTAGTCGTATGTGAAAGCTCCTTGAGATCTTTAAAACAATACAATGCTGGGTATTATTTCTATAGCCATGGAAAAGATAGGGTT